GGAGTTCCCAGGCTGGTTCATTGCTCCCCACCGGGGAGCAGGTGCTCAGAGCTCCCCCCCTCTGCTCCCAGGCTGGTCTGCTAGAGGGGCCGGGCCTGGGGGGTTCTGGGCCTATGGCCGGGGGGAGCAGCCAGCGCCCCGGGCTGGAGTCACCACTTACTTTGCGAGCCAGTGTCATACCCAGGGTCGCTGCCTGTGGGAGGGAGAAGGGGGTTAGCACTGCAGGGAGCTGGTTCCTGGCCGATCCCCCCACCCCACACCACTGGGATCAGACTGGGGTGAGCAGAACGTCCCGGAGGCCCAGAAATGGCCCAGCCCAGGCAGGGACCATGGGAAGGGATCAGAAAGGGGGCAGGGGCCGGGACCGGGCAGACCCAGTTCTGCGGTAATAACCCCCATAACGCACCAGGGCTGGAGGCTGGGTGGGGGAGCGCAGGGACCCCAGCTGGGGCGGGAATGGCCGGGGGGTTCAGGATCTGAGGGTCCTGGTATCTGGGTCCCAGCCCAGCTCTGCTGTGGGGGGGTCACACTCAGCCCCACTCCTGTCCCAGTTCATATAGGGGGTGAGGGACAATGAGCCCTCCCCCCCTGCAGCCTCCCCCCAGCCACAACCCCACCCCCAGAGTCCCTGCTGCCTGGAACGACCCCCCCTTGCAGAGGGGACCCACCCCCGGCTGGGGACTGCAGGGCGCCCTGGGGCAGGGCCTGGGGAAAGCGTCTCCCCATAGAGGTCTCCGTGACCACAGCCGATCCCAGGGGGGCTGGACCCCCCAGCACTTACCCCTGCTGGATCCTTTGCTGGATTCTTTGTCGCTGGCTGTGGGGAGAAGGGACAGGGTCAGCGTCTCCGAGCCCAGGGGCTGAGTGTGCTCCCGGGGTCACCGCCCCCCTCAGAGGGGTTCCAGCCCCACCCGTCCCGTTAGACCCGCCCCGTCCCGTTAGACCTGCCCTGGGCTCGCCTGGGGGGCCCTGACCCTGGGCGAGGAGGGGCCCATGTGGCAGGGCCCCGCTGTGGGATCTCAGGGACCGTCCCTCCCAGCTCTGCCGGGGGGAGCCTGGCCCCCGTGCCGGGCAAGGAGGGGCCCCTGGTTACCTGCTCTGCTCACAAATGACCCTCCTGGGGAGTGCAGGGTGAATCGCCAAGTCCCATTCACAGCCCCCCTCACCCCCCCCGCCCCAGAGATCCCACCCTCGCCTGGTCTGCCTGCTGTTCTCTGACTGGGAACTGAAGGGTTAATGGGTCACCCTCCTGCTCCATCATTAACCCCTTACCTTCCAGAGAGGAGCTGGAGTCCCGGTTGCCGGCTGTGAGGGGAGAAGGAGGGTTAGTGTCTCCTGAACCGGTGTCGGGAGGCAGACGTCTCCCTAGGAATTGATTCCACTCTCGCCCACCCCGTCCCGGGGCTCACCACCCCCGGCCTGCCCCAGACAGGGAACAGCATGACCCGGAGCTGCCCTGGGCAGAGCCAGACAAGAGGGCCCCCCCGCCCCCCGCCTGGCACGGCTCAGCCCGGAGACCAGAGGGGCCTGCACCCCGCAGAGCCGGGGGCACGTTGTGCGATGCAGGGGATTACGGGTGACTGGCTGAGCAGGGGGCGATGGGGCGTTAGCGCCCGGTCCCGGGGAGGGTCCCCGGGCTGGCCCGTGCCCCCTCCCTACACCTGCCAGCAGCACGGAGGGCTCACACTCACCCTGAGCTGGAGTGTCGATGGCTCTGGTTTTCCCTGCAGAGACAAGGCAGATTGCAGTGAGTGCGGCCGCTCCTGGGACAGGAACCGGCTCAGACCCCGGGGGCTCAGCACGCGACTCAGTGTCCCAGGGAAGCCGGGACAGGGTAAGGAAGGGAGCAGAAAGACCCCCTGCACACACACAGATCCAGGGCCGGCTGCAGGGTTTTTGCCACCCCAAGCAGCCAAAAAAAAACCAAAAAAACCCACAATCGCGATCTGCGGTGGCAATTCGGCGGGAGGTTCTTTGCTCCGAGCGGGAGTGAGGGACTGTCCACCGAACTGCCGCCGAATAGCTGGATGTGCCGCCCCTCCCTCCAGAGTGGCCACCCCAAGCACCTGCTTGCCAAGCTGGGGCCTGGAGCCGGCCCTGCACAGATCCCACCCCCACCTGGTCTCCCTGCTGGGGCCTCTGACCAGGAACTGAAGGGTTAATGGGTCACCCCTCCTGCTCCATCATTAACCCCTTACCTTCCAGAGAGGAGCTGGAGTCCCGGTTGCCCTGCCTGGAGATCCCCTGCCTGGCACGGCTCAGCCTGGAGACCAGAGGGGCCTGCACCCCGCAGAGCCGGGGGCACGTTGTGCGATGCAGGGGATTGCGGGTGACTGGCTGAGCAGGGGG